CCACCTTTGGATCATCAAGTCTTTAGCAGGTTGGCTTTGATTGTCACCAGCACCCGCTGGGCGTCCAAGCACCCCTGCCGAATGAGGCTCGGTAACACATTAAACATCACCGACAGTTCCAGGAGTCTGAGATGGACCCTCCAGTTCCGATACCCATCAGCCCACAGCAAGGGCACCGTCCTCAAGGACCCAACCAACCCAGCCGCCATACGAAAACTCGGAACAGCATCTGTGTGGATGGCAATTGGGTGCGCGTGGGTAGGTTGCCAAAAGAGTTTAACCCACCCTAGACTGCAAAGAAACGTGCAATATTTGGCGACTCCGACAGCTCATGGCTGGCGGTAGGACCAGACCTGGACCGGTAAAACTGTGGACCACATTGGGGCAGCAATAGCGACATGCCCGAAAGGTCCGCGATCTCATGCACCCAGTAGGGAGTACAGCTGTTTGAACGCTGCGCAGGTTCCACCATCCTCTGCACTGCGAGTCTCATCCTTTCGGGACGAATTGAGCCGTTGATGGTGTCAACACCAAGTCGGTGAGAACCCGCTCTCGCCGCTGGTAGGGCGCCCGCACCCTGGTGTGCGAAAAAACCCCAACAGGCTGGTGCCAGCCCACTGGGCACTGCACAACCTTGATAGCCGGACTTCTGAGACACGGTGGGCAGATAGCCGTGTGGTTGTGGCACTTCCCACAAGCATCCCACGGGACTTATACCTGTAGCTCGGCACCACACGGTGTTCGATAATATAACATAGCGTGCATCAGAAATTAGGCGGAATTTGGGAGTGGCCTTCTTTAGGAACAAAACCGAGGGGCAATACGCAGCGCAGTTGGCAGTCGACTCATGGTCCCGCCCCAGTGGCGACCAGTTCGGTGATCACAAAATTCAGTCTGCTGTTAGGCCGACGGTTGGCCAGGCTGTAGGGTGCTTCGCACAACAGCGGAAACCGAACAGTACCCAGGCCATGACCAGGCGGGACTGCATAAATAACTTCCAACATGCTGTTTTGGCTTTCAACCGGGCCCTCATCTGTGATGGCTGGTTGGACTTAGGTTTGTCTGCGCGCAGCAAGCTCGTCCCGGCCCTCCTTACCTTCAATGTCGGGACAACTCTCATGTCATCCACGCGCCGGGTGTGCACTTGTTCAGGGCCTGTCGGTACCGGTGTTCTCTCCGGGGAAATGCGGACACCTTGGTTGCGGGCACTGGCTTGCCGTGTCACGCCTCTTATGGGGCACTTGTGTCGGCCGACTCGAGGCCGGTCCGGCATCCGTAGGATAAACTTGCGTTTGACGCGCTGGTATAATCAGTGCTGCTGAGGGATCGCTATATTTTGAGCCAAAGAGTAACTGTAGATTTGGTCTTGTTGCCGATTGCGATGGTATTGAGCCATTGCTACGTACATAAGATCGCGCCCGACGAAGATGCACTGTTTGGTGACGACCACAGTGGTCGAAGCTGTATGACGGCCGATGTGCGGCCGGGCGCGCTGGTTGTTGCAGGCCGCCGGCCAGGAGACGGGAAAAGGGGCCAATGCTTCTTAAGTAAGCCTCTTCTTTCATTGAATAGCGGGACAAGATCGTTTAGTAGACGAACGCGTGTCTGCAAACGCGCATGAACAGGTTCCCTTGAATGGCAATGAATTAGTAGCCATGTCCTGTTCGCTGGGCACCCAGGAAGATCTTGTATATGTAGTGTGTTAAGATCTAGAGACGCGGCGGCAAGGTACGCAAAGCACGAAGGCGAAGTCGGGATGTATCGGGGAAAACTGGTGTAATGAAGCGGGAGTATGGAACCAGTGCGCTGTCTTCTTGTGCTTGCCCGGAGTGGGCACTCATGTTGGATGGTTGGGTAGCTGATGTGAAGTGGGGGCAAGGAAGGAAATTGGGTTTCTGCATACCCGCGCAGCTTTAGCACCAAAGGTGATTTAAGCCTGCCCACACAGTAGGGCACGACAGACCGATTTAATGGGTCTTGTAGCCTCTTTACCCTACCGCAGTCACGTGAGTATGTACCCTTTGCGGGGTTGGGGTGCGTCACTGTCGACTGCCAAAGTAATCACAACTGCGAGCCACATCCGGCCATAACCACAGTGAAGACGGGCAGTATTAGAGCTCTTCTCACAAGAGACTTCTGGCCACATCCAGCCTAAGCACAGCGAGTGTCCAAAATTGTTGGCCACAGCCGGCCTCGTAAGCAGCTTGTGTGGGATGTTACTGGCCCCTGCCCGGCCTATGCGGCAGCTGTCGGTCCCAAACGGCTCCAAGACAGGCGAGCACAATATCGGAACCGTTAGTAACGCCTAAGCAATTGATGCGCAATTCCACGAAAACTGCCTGGCCCAAACGGCCACATAACAGGCGATGCGCAGGTCCACGAAAACTGCCTGGCCCAAACGGCCACATAACAGGCGATGCGCAATTCCACGAAAACTGCATGGCCCAAACGGCCACATACACAGGCGATGCGCAATTCCACGAAAACTGCCTGGCCCAAACGGCCACATAACAGGCGATGCGCATTCCACGAAAAACTGCCTGGCCCAAACGGCCACATAACAGGCGATGCGCATTCCACGAAAACTGCCTGGCCCAAACGGCCACATAACAGGCGATGCGCAATTCCACGAAAACTGCCTGGCCCAAACGGCCACATAACAGGCGATGCGCAATTCCACGAAAACTGCCTGGCCCAAACGGCCACATAACAGGCGATGCGCATTCCACGAAAAACTGCCTGGCCCAAACGGCCACATAACAGGCGATGCGCAATTCCACGAAAACTGCCTGGCCCAAACGGCCACATAACAGGCGATGCGCAATTCCACGAAAACTGCCTGGCCCGCCACATAACAGGCGATGCGCATTCCACGAAAACTGCCTGGCCCAAACGGCCACATAACAGGCGATGCGCAATTCCACGAAAACTGCCTGGCCCAAACGGCCACATAACAGGCGATGCGCAATTCCACGAAAACTGCCTGGCCCAAACGGCCACATAACAGGCGATGCGCAATTCCACGAAAACTGCCTGGCCCAAACGGCCACATAACAGGCGATGCGCAATTCCACGAAAACTGCCTGGCCCAAACGGCCACATAACAGGCGATGCGCATTCCACGAAAACTGCCTGGCCCAAACGGCCACATAACAGGCGATGCGCAATTCCACGAAAACTGCCTGGCCCAAACGGCCACATAACAGGCGATGCGCATTCCACGAAAACTGCCTGGCCCAAACGGCCACATAACAGGCGATGCGCATTCCACGAAAACTGCCTGGCCCAAACGGCCACATAACAGGCGATGCGCAGGTCCACGAAAACTGCCTGGCCCAAACGGCCACATAACAGGCGATGCGCATTCCACGAAAACTGCCTGGCCCAAACGGCCTCATAAGCAGTTGATGCGCAAGTCCACGAAACTGCCGGCCCGAACGGCCTCATAAGCAGTTGATGCGCGAGG